GACGACGAAAGAGAAGGACTGGTTGCTCTCTTGGTGGAGGTCTCATTACCATGAGTACCCACGTATGGCTGCAGCTGCCAGAGATTATTTGGCTATACCAGCATCTGGGGTATCAGTCGAAAGACTGTTCAGTGGGGGAAGAGATCTCTTAGGAGTGCGGAGGAGCTCAATGAGTGCAGAGACTATGAGGCGTCTTATGATGCTGCGAGATACATGGAAATAGCTTCAGAGATTTACGAATAATTACGAATAATTACGAATAATGCGAATATTATTCGTACGAATATTAGTAAGCGGAAATTCTAAATTTTATTCGTATTCGACTACGAATATTCGTACGAATATTCGTGTCCAGCCCTAATTGTGAACCTCACTGTTTGTTCCCTTGTCCCTCTTTGAGGCTGCCTATAATGCTCTCTTGGGTTCTACAACTTGGTCTTCTTCTCTCACCTTCTCAGCTTCAGGAACAAAATGTGACCATCCACGAGCCGCTCGCATGGTATGCGCCGCCCTTGCCTTTGGATGTATCTCCAGAGCTATTCTTATGGAAAAGATCATCCTTACTCCGACGGGACCGTTGTACTGATGCATTCGGATCCAATGCTCTTACAAACATCTGCACACCGAGCAGAACACTTTGCTGTAATACCCCATATATCCAGCCGCATCTCATCTTCGATATGTTGACAAACAAGCAGGCGTCCGGAAGAATCAAAACTTTCCTCAATGTGTTCAAGGACAGGGCCAGGGGTGGTGCTGTCCCGGAGAGTATGTGCTTTACCAAACCATTACCTTCGAACCTTGACTAACCTCACCTTCAGGAGTACGAGCGATGGGTGCTACATCGACACGGACTCGGCATGCCAACAGCCTAATTCTGTACCGTGTACACAGCTTGCTCCAGGGACGGCTCGAGCATGCTGCCCGAGTGGAACACAGTGCCCGGAAACATGGAATCAGTCCTCAATCGTGCGTTGCGAGCTCCCAAGATCTGTCCTCCTTTCGAGCTCATCCTCGACCTTTACGTCGCCTACTGTGTCTACTAGACCCACATCATCCACGTCATCCACGTCATCTAGCCCATCTACATCGGCCACATCATCATCCGATCTTCCACCGTCGAGTACGGCACCAACAAGAAGTGCAAACAGCGAAAAGCAGCCAACATCGCCACCGATCGAGACCAATCGTTCAGCAGGTCTCTCTGTAGGCGAGATCGCGGGGATTGCGATTGCTTCGGCGGGAGTTATTGGCATCATTGCCTCGATTGGATTTTTCATCTGGAGACGCAGGCAAAAGAAGATGCTGGAGCGACCTTCAGTTCGACAGTTGCAGGGGACGTACCCGGAGTTAATGGGCTTAAACCCGCAAAAGTACCCTGCCAGCACGAACCTAGGTGAGGTCGTACCTCAAGAGATGAATGCCCGACGTACTGTTTATGAAATTGATGGCAACGAGAGAAGAGAATAATGAGCCGGAATTGTTCCGAGAATCCTCAAGTGTATATAATAATAATGTCCCTGGGACGATGGTGGAATGGTAACTGGAGTGATAGGTGCACAGAAAGACTCAGAGGAACTGAGTTCGAATCTGTGCAGAGTCACTACAGGAAATCTTCTGTCACACCGCCCAGGGATGCCCCCCGGAACACTTTTCCACAAGCCCTCACGACGACTCCTCAATTGACCAAAAACAAATACAACGGACATTTTCGGCAACAGACATTTTCCAAACGAAAAAACCAAAGCGGAGTGAGGGATAATAACCCCAACGGACAAAAAGGGCTCAGCCAGCCCAAAATCAACTAAGAGAAACTAAGAGATAACTTGCGACGGGGAGCAATATTGCTGTATTGTTCCACCACGCCGCGGAAGCACCGACCAAGAAGGAGAGCCACGAAGGCAAAAACGAAAGGACAATTACTACTACAAAGGAGGAGGCGGGGTTTTACGTACCCATAGCCCTGGCAATGGGGAAACTTTTACCGCGACATACTAAATAGTAAAATGACCGTGTTCATAGACCATAACGGGAACCGGATAGCACGTTAAATTGAATTATTATTATTATTATTATTATTATTATATAATAAGAATCAATTTAACGTACTATCTGCCATCTGGATCCCTTTCGGGTCTATGAGCACGGCATTCTATCTGGTCTGCCGCGGGCAAAAGTTTCCCTGTAGCCCTGAGGCTACGGGTACATAAAATCCCGCCTCCTCCCTTTAGTAGACTGTCTCAAACGTTTATCATCTATCCGTACGAGTCGGTGTTTCCGCCTACGCGGAGAGCTTATTCTGGCACGTCGTGGAGGAGCTGGAACGGTTTCCAGTCCTCTATTATCTCCTCCTTAACTTCCTTGGCCACCCGGTATTGCTCTAGGCCTCCCGCATCGATCAGCTACCTTGCTGCGTGCGCACCTTGTCCCTGTTATGCAATATCCTCTTAAAGTCCGTGGTTCCAGCTCGTTGGAGGAGCGCGATCCTCTGGTCGGTCCGCTGCGGGCAAAATGCAAGGAGATGATAGAGAGACTGTCGGGGGGCACCGCACTCACACGCTGGGTGGATTCCAGGGATATCAATTTTCGCGAGCCATCCTTTAACTCCAACTACCTCAGTCCGTAGTGCCATAAGCGCCGAAGCCTCGTGTTTCTAAAGGCCGTCGTACCGGTTAAGGCACTGGGTTTCCCACGGGTTCTGGACTCTAATATAAGGCGAAGTCCTCGCAGCGGAAAAGGGAAGAATAGGCGTTATTACTACGGAGAGCGGATATTATAGATGGACTACTCCGACTCGATATCCGAAGGTAAGCCCCATTCGTGGGTTTTATTTCTATCTTCTAAGGGCTGGTGACGTAGGTTAGCACAAGACTGAATACTCTACTGGAACAAAACATACTAGTATCGCCATCATATCGTTATCGGGATCTAGATCAGCCGTCGCTCCTCCCGTCTCGTAAGGTGGCACTATTATTCGGTCTTCATCTCTCGTGACCTTGGCGTTAAACAGTTCTAGCTTCTTTGTCGCCACCCTTTCGAGCCCGATAGTGTGTATGTCCGGCGCTTGATGTGTGGCTTGCCTACCGCCCCGGTAAAATTTAATCGAATCGCACGCCAACTCAAATGCCAGGATATGAATATCATCCACTGGAGAGGGCACGGAATGCTTGGAGCTTTCCTTCCGCGCAAATGCTTTCTCTATCGCCTTGCGTAGATAAACAGTATATTCTGCCGTCAATGAGGTAGTCTTGAACAGAGCATCTAATCCGAAAGTCGACGTTCGACGGGCCCAAAGCTCTCTTTTTAGCTCCAGGTTTAGATATTCAAGGCTACGGTCGACTTCTTGCCAGGTATCCCGACAGCCATGCGGATTAACGAGGCTATTCGAGAGTGTTACGCGCCGAAGCTCCTTATCACAAGCTTTGGTGCTAGTGAGCCGCTTTAGATAGAGCATTTCGAATGCGTAGTTTGATTGTCCAGTCCCTTCGAAGTAAAAGCAACAGACACCAATAACTCGATCGATGAGTCCTACATCTCCGTTCTTGATGCCGTGCTTCAAGGTCTTGTATACAACCATTTGTTGAAGGTATCGAGCATGACTAAGGAACTCCTCATCAACTGTGTTGTTGGCATGCTTCTCCTTAGACGGTCGCCAGGCTTGCGGCTCAAATGCGGATCTGCGAACATCCTCCACTAGGTCCATAAAGCCTCTGGTATTCATGTTCCGAATTGCCTTATCAACCTCATCTTGATCCGAGATATCGATGCCGCACTGCTCGAGGCGAGTATAGAGTAGTCCAACAACCCGAGCGTCGAAACTGTGAAGCACCAGCTCTTCCAGAACCTGAAAAGCTGCACGGGCCGCTGGAATATTCTTCCGTCCCCAGAAGTTCATGTTATGATAGAGAGTTGAAGCATCCTGTTGCTCCATGTTTCCATTATGTGTCTTTTGCATGAGCCATAGAAAATTCATGCGCAGGTGAAAGAGAGCAGCGACTCCTACTAGCCAGTCTTTTCTATCATACGCCATAGACGCGTCGACTTGCTCAGCCTGCATAGATCGGATGAGTGAAGAGGTTTTTTGATCGCCAAACGCCAAGAACAGACGGTTGTCGAATTCCTTATTATCTAGTTGGAATTGGTGCTTGTAGATACTCTCTATAACCTCGTAGGAGCCATCTAGAGTACCTTCGTTGAAGAGAATCGGACCGAGCGTCTTACTATCTGTCTTTCGAAGCTCGAGTAGCTCGATAGCTGGCATAGCGGGGAATGGGATGTCGGAATTAGAGAAGATAGATTTAACCGATTGTGGATATGCTGTTCGAATCGCCTCCGCTATGAAGTAGCTGTCAATCTTGGAGGCAGTATCGTCGTATATGGCGGCGCTGGGAGAGTAGAAAAGGTCCTCTATTGAAAGTGGAACCTCGCGGTATAGCATCGACTTCCTTAATCCACCTGGGGGAATGTCGGCGCCTCTGAAAACTTTCCCCGTTATTACAGAGCGCATTTCTACATGGTTTGAAATAAGCTAGTGCTTAACACATTCTCGATAGTCGAAATTATTGTAGACAACACAAGCGTCCAGCAGCTGGCCGTATCGACGGACCGTTCCCTACGAACGGTTAGTCGAAATCCATTCCGAGAGACGGTGGCGATGCCTTCGCTTGCTCTGCCACAGTTTTAAGGTGCTTGTGAACCCCTTTATACCCTTCACAAAGCCCAAAATGGTGTAATAGATCGAGGACACGCCGTTTAACGCCATTGGAGTGTAGAAAGGCACCAAATACGCGGGGAAACTTGTTACTTCCTTCCGAGGCTCGAGAATAACAGAGAATCGACGTAATTATCGCAGTCCTGTGCTTGAATTTGGAAGGATCTCGTGGCGGTCGATCTTTTCTCTCTATCTTCGGCGCCATGAGACCGTCGAGCAGTCCACATAGAAGAGGAGCATGGGTATGGACTTGCTCATACATCCGGCCGAACCGCATGTCGTCGAGTATGCACTCGTAGTCCTCTGGTTTCTGGCCATCTTCAGACTGCCCCTCCCGCCTAATACCGCCTTGTAGAGACTTCTCTTGTTCGCGGTCGACCTGGTAGGCACTAAACATACCTCCGGCCTCTTCCAGCGCTTTCATTTCTTTTCTCAGTGCCTTCACGGTGACAATTCCTCCCACACTAGACGCAGGATGTTGTCGTATTGCCTCTAGTACCTCTGGTTGAGTGTATATCGCGTCTGCAAGGCGTTTGGCACGCGTCGCAGGTCGATCTCCGTAGCCGTCATCACCTTGAGTTGTTACGTACACTCGAATAAATTCGGCAAGCGTCAAGTGGTGTGTTTTAGACATGTATTTGCATATGTCGCTCACTCGCTTTTCTGACGTCCATACTCGTGATCTTGCGCGTTTACGATGGACACCGGCCGTCAAAGCAGCAGTTCGTGGCTGTTCTCTGCTCTCAAGAGGCGTTGGGTTCAGTCGTACGCTGCGCCGAGAGGTTCGATCTGACATCGTCAAAATTTCACTGGGCTGTTAAGAAATGATAGAGGATTCGATTGAACGTGTCGATTTTACTGTACGATAGCTCCTTGTGGAGAAAAACGACGTTGAAGTGGTTAACTTGCTCTCATACAAACGATCTCGACTTAGGCCAAAAATCAATGACAGGATCCTCAGGCTATTTGGTAGAGAACCTTACCGATTAGGTATAGCGCGGTTCGTTGCCTCAGGCACTACCACAATGGTGAATGCATGTGGCCTGGGCTTGCTGAGGTAAGCTGGGGCCAGACGGCAAAGGCCTCCCCTACCACTATATGGCGTTCCGTTAACGTATTCCACAAGCGAGTGGCCCATACAAGCGAGTGGCCCAGCTCATTTTACTAGTAAATTCGACAAAATTCGATATCAATATCTCAACAACCACTGGGTAATATAGTCTGAAAACTTAGAATTAGGTTTTCCTAT